ACATTTCACCTCTAGGGCCCCTAACTAATTGAAAACTGGCTTTGAGCCTAACAGATAAATTTGTTCATCACCCTGAATAATATTTAGCTTAACTAGGAATTTTTTTTTTCCTGAGAATTGTTTCAGGACTAAAGTATGATGGCAGTTGAAGGCCAAAAGGTAAATGCACTGGAAGTGTGTGGGGAGGGGGACTTTGAAATTGCTTTCTTACATCTCTGACTTTAACCAATTTAACCCTAAAAATCACTGTGCAAAATATAGTCATGCATCATGCTATATACATGCTCAAGGGGGATATACACAATGATTTATGGAAGCAGACTCTAGCTAGCATGAAACAACAGAATGCTTTTATCATGCTTTCTTCCTAATTCTATGTAATGATAGCATCTATGCTTACCAACTACTAATCCTGAGGATACATCAGTATTTATTTTTAATTACTAACATTTTCAGACAAAAATAAATATTTTAATACAGGTTGACATTTAGTTAGATTCCTTAAAAACAGTTTATAAAAGAGTAAAAAGTTACCAAGACCAGAAAGAGAGAGAAAACAATATTAATTCTGAGAGTTAGTTTGACCCTGGGGCCAAAAATGTACAGACCTGATTTGAACAATGCTTAATATTTATATTTGCCTCATATTCAATAAATCACCTTTCTGGATGACTTTTAAAGATCCTTTTGGAGAAGGAGTCAGACCCTTAGAATAACATCCATAGCAAGCAGTATCCATGTATGGTCAGTAGAAAGGGAATTGCATGAATTGTGGAAGTACATTCTAGCTTGTACTGCATTTTATTCTTATGAGACGTAGTTGAGTGGTAATGGTATGAATAACATTTGTCTATATTAGGATACAACAGATACATATTTGGAGTATGTATTTCTTTCAACTTTTCAAAAAGAAAATGAAGATGAGAAATGCACCTATCAGAAATATTGGCAGATTAGCCAAATATCGGCTCAGAAAAGCAACTAATTTTTTTTCCTCATGGAAAAATGCCACAGCAATTTTTTGTATAATTGGTAAAACCTACACTTTTGCCTACAGTATGAGATACATATTAAGTCAAATTTTTATGGCGTAAGTGACCATCAATTGAGAATACTTTGAACTAAGGCTCAGATTTCATTTGAGAAGAATCAAGCTGGTATTTCTAAAATTCACACAATATATTCTTAATTAATATTGAATATCAATATAACATTTCTCACTTTACTTACTTTTTCCCCATTTTAACATAGCATTACTCAATACTCAAAAATGGATAAAATGTATATTGACAGTTCAAAAGCATATTTTTGAAAGATAACAGTGGAGAGTGCTTTTTTAAATGTGCATTCGTAGTTCTTAGGGAAAAACTGCTATTTCAAATAGCACATAACATAAGAAAGGCCTAGAGATGCTGGAGTTCAAGTCAATGAAAACTTTGCTGTTGGTTTTAATAACAGTACAATCAAGTCCTAAATGTTATACTGCGTGATGCAAAACAAAAAACAACAACAACAACAACAACAAAAGATCTGACCAAGTTTTTAAGTGTAACCCCCTCTTTCCTCCCAGGGTTACTCCGGAGCAAGTCACGCTCACCTGATGTTTTTAACATAAAAGGAGATCCTGAGTAGCCCAGTAGTGATGTTGTATAGTTGGGAATTTCCTATCGACCCCCTTGCTGTAGCACTTTGCTCCTAAAGGAATATACAATGAGGGTGCCTCCACCTAGCTGTCCCTATATGTACTTAATGGTATAGCTTGGGAGCCTCCAGGAATACAATTATTCCACTAATGATGTGGATCTAACTCGAAAACAACAATTACAAATAATATATATCTAATTGATTAAATTAGAATTAGCATACCTTTACTTAACAACTTAAAGAAACAGGTTTTAAAAGATTAAAAATGAGTAAAATCAATTAACAAAGTGCACAGAAATAAAGGAAACTTATCTAATTGGCATACACTCTGCCACAATGTATCCCACCCCAAATGCTTGCGCAGGCACGCTTGAAGGTCTGCAGCTGGAGTGGAGACAGCACTGTACAGGTTCTGTGCATGTCAGTCCAAGGTGGTCAGCCAGCCGCAAAATCTCTCTGCCACAGAGCAAGGAACACCAAATGCCAATACCTCTGGTTCACTGGGCAGATCTCTCTGGCTCTCTTTGGACCCAGAGTCAGGGTGTCTTCTCTGCTCTGTCCCAGGCAACACTCTGTTCCAAACAGCCACAGTTACTTCTATTCAAGTTTATGCGGGCCCTTCTCAGCCACAGGCATAGCCAGGATCTTTTCCCTCCAGGGACAATCACCAACAGCCCTTGAAGCAGCCTGCTAGATGCAAGCCCCAGTAGGCTCTCAGTAACAGGCTCTAGCCTCAACAACAGTTCCTGGCCTGGAAAAGGGTCCATACTAGCAGTATGACTCCTTTCTCCAAAATGAAGCTCACTAACCCTCCTTTTTCCCCCGAGGTCTCATGAAAGCTATAGTCTCTAGGGCTAGACTGCAACACAAAGGATTCTCCCAGTAAAAGTCAGACGCTTCTGTAGTAAAGGGAGCCTTCGTAAGTTAAACAAGAATGATACTC